CAGAGGAGGTTGACAAACAGCTGAATGATATGCTTGAAAGAGGTGTGATCGAGCCATCGAACAGCCCATGGTCAGCGCCTATTGTATTAGCCAAAAAGAAGGACGGTACATTTCGCTTTTGCATTGATTACCGCAAGTTAAATAGCTGTACAATCAAGGACGCATACCCCCTTCCCAGAATAGACGAGTCACTGGATCAGTTGAGTGGTAGCTCGTGGTTCTCTACTCTAGATCTCTGCTCAGGATATTGGCAGGTAGAAATGGAGCCAGACGACAAACAAAAGACAGCCTTTGCCACACGTCGTGGACTTTTCCAGTTTAAGGTCATGCCATTCGGCTTATGTTGTGCTCCTGCAACATTTGAGCGCCTAATGGAAAGTGTTTTGGCAGGCCTTCACTGGGATATCTGTCTTGTTTACCTGGACGACGTGATAGTGACAGGCAAAACCTTTGAGGAAATGTTGGCAAACCTTAGAAGAGTTTTTGACAGACTGCAAAATGCAGGACTTAAACTCAAAGCCAAGAAATGCTGCTTGTTTGCCAAGAAGGTGACTTACCTGGGACATGTTGTGTCAGAGGAAGGTGTAGCGACTGACCCAGACAAAACAGCTGCAGTAAAACAATGGCCAGTACCTAATAATGCCACTGAGGTACGCTCATTTCTTGGGCTATGCAGCTATTACAGGAGGTTCATCAAAGATTTCTCAAGCATTGCAAAATGCCTACACACGCTGACAGAGAAAGGTCGTGCCTTTGTTTGGTCTAAAGAATGTCAAGAGGCATTTGACACCCTAAGAAATAAGCTGACCAACACTCCAATATTAAGGCATCCAGATTTCTCTCATCCCTTCATCTTAGACACTGATGCCAGCAATGTGTCTGTAGGGGCAGTCTTATCTCAAAAGATTGATGGTCAAGAGAGAGTTGTTGCTTATGCAAGTCGGACTTTGACAAAGTGTGAGCGCAGATATTGCGTTACACGAAAGGAATTGCTCGCGGTGGTCCACTTTGTCAAACACTTTAGGCATTACCTCTATGGTAAAAAGTTCATAGTCCGCACAGACCATAGCTCCTTAAGGTGGCTTTTCAAATTTAAGAATCCTGAAGGACAGTTGGCACGTTGGTTGGAAATCCTCAGTACTTACAGTTTCGAGATTCAACACCGACCAGGTACACAACACAGCAATGCGGATGCATTGAGCCGTGTGCCATGTCGCCAGTGTGGTTTTGATCCAAACTGGGAGAAAGGTTTGGAAGGTAACAAGCCGGAAGAAGTGAGAGCCATATCCCAAGCCAGTGGATCAAAGGATGATGGGGACGATCCATTGCTGTCTATGAAAGTCATGCAAGACAAAGACAAAGACATCTCTCTTGTCAAACTTTGGGTCATAGAAAAGACAAGACCTGAGTACAGTGTGGTCAGAGGCCAAGGTTATGTACTAAGATCTTTGTGGTCACAATGGAACAATCTCTGCATAGAAAATGGCATTCTTTTCAGAAGATTTCAAGAAGAGGATGGAAAGACCATACGCTTGCAGGCTATTGTACCAAGTAGCCAACGACGGACAATATTCGAGTACTGTCATGATGTGAGGACAGCTGCACATCTTGGTGTGAACAAGACACTTGCTCGAATAAGGCAAAAGTTCTATTGGCCTGGTTTGCAAGCAGACACCAGAATGTACATAGCAGGTTGTGAAAAATGTTGTAAAAGGAAGGGTCCTCAAATGAAGAGAAGAGCACCCATGGAATTGGTTGAGAGTGGTTTACCCATGGACAGGATTGCCACGGACATCCTGGGAGAACTACCAATGACAGAGGATGGCAATGAATATATATTGGTGGTATCGGACTATTTCACGAAATGGACCGAGTCCTTCCCTATGCCGAACATGGAAGCCAAGACAGTGGCAAAACTAATTGTTGAAGAAGTGATTCCCCGGTTCGGCGTACCATCAGTAATTCACTCTGACCAAGGTCGACAGTATGAGAGTGCGCTATTTGAGGAGATGTGTCAGGTTCTCCAGATCAAGAAAACACGGACCAGCCCCTATCATCCACAAAGTGATGGAATGGTGGAGCGTTTTAACAAGACGCTAGTAACAATGTTAAGCGCTTACGTGAATGACCATCATTCAGACTGGGACAAACACCTACCATTTGTTATGATGGCTTACAGGGCTTCCGTTCACGAGACAACTGGCTACACTCCCAATTACCTGATGCTGGGAAGAGAAGTGTCAACACCGCTTGACATTATGTTTGAGATGCCCAGATCAGTGCAACAAATTCCCAAAGACAAGTGGGCCTGGGAATTGAAAGAAACCTTGGAGAGTGCACACAAACATGTCAGAGAGAACATAAAAACGGCAATGGTTCGACAGAAGAAGTATCACGACCAAAAGTTGTCATGGCAGAAATTTGAGCCAGGTTGCCAAGTCTATGTGTTCTTTCCTATTAGAAAGGCAGGTCGCTCGCCAAAATTTACCAGTTACTGGCGGGGTCCTTACAAGGTGCTTTCAAAGATGACAGATCTCACCTACAAAGTTGACTGTGGACGTGGTGGAAAACCACAAGTGATACACGTCGACAGAATGCGTCGTAGGTACCCTCAAACGTTGCAAGGCGAAATACCTGATGATGAGAGGACGGCACCAGAGGACGAGCCTGAACCTCTAGGTGATGACGCAGAGACAGAACAAGAGTCAAATAACCATTTTGATGGAGACGACATCCCTGTAAGACGCAGGAGAAAGCCACAGTGGATGGAAGACTATGTCTTGTACTAGAAAGATGACAACACTTGTCATTGCACAGTTTTGTAAATATTGTAAATAGTTAATCATATGCGGGACGCATATAATCTTGAGGGGAGGGTTGTGAAACGGAAGTTGATTTTTTTTATCGTTTAGTTTTGCATAAACGTTAGACCTACGTTTTCACTTAATTCTTAAACACTAAAAAATATTACTTTTACGATCATACAAGTAGTATGAGACTGCCATTGTACGGGGACTGCATTGGGATAATACTAATTGTATTGCAGGACCTTTGAGACCTCTCTGGTGACGGAGTTGTGAAACCTTAGCTTGTTTCTCCTCTTACACACGGTCATAAGACCTGAATAAGGCAGACAGTTGCGGGGGATAGACAGCTAAGTGTTGTAGACTACCCAAAAGAGTAAGACCTGAATAAGGCAGTCACCTGGTAGTATAGATCGAGAGAGGTGGCATACCACAGTGAGAAGTGGGGGAAGTGCTAGGAGTCAGTACAGTTAGAAGTGGCAGGACCGAAGAAATCTACTTACGGGAGACACCCGTTGACCACAGCTAGTGGTTATCCAATCAAGAAGAAACCCGTTGATCCATTGTATTATTTCATTGTATATATTTGATTGTAATTTTATTTGGTCAACAAAAACCTGAGTTAACAGGTTAACGAACCTAGTGTAACGCCTCGGTGATACAAGACATATCACCACACACCCAAGCTCGGCCGCGTTGCACGTTACAGAACTAACATAAAACTCTTTGTTTTAAACCCCATCTGCATCAAGATTACACCCCATTTTTTCAAATTCTAAAAGAAAATTCTTCTTTTTTTTTTACTCTAATTCGGAAATGCTGCAGATCCAATTCTATAAGGCTTCGATCATTAGTTTTTGAAATGAGTTTGTTTTTTTTTAATTCTGACTTGGGGTACCTTTTCAAAGAAAGAAAAGGGATGTAAACAAAGATATTACATACCACAACATAAGATCTTTCAATACGTGTGTATGAATCTTTGCTTGAGAGTTTGTATGCGGGGGGGGGGGGGGGGGGGGGGTTGAGGGACACAACCGTGAACCCTGGAACCCCCCTTTCAAAAATTGCTGGATCCGCCCCTGCGATACATTGACTGTGACCTGTTTATTATGAAATAATTTAATTTTGCTTGTATTCTTGCCTTTCATTGGTTGATTTCCAAAAAGGAACGCATAACATTTTGTATAATCTGGTTTGGTATTGGAACACACCCCCTAGACAACCAGCATAATCATCTGTATCCATTAGTCCCCTCATTTACAGTCCTTGGGATTCATGGAAAATTCCAGATTTAATGAATGTACCTTTAATTCCAAACAGTTGCTCGATCTTACCTCATGTATACAAGCATCATGGCTGCTAGATCTATGTATCAGTTTTTACCTCCCCTCGCTTCCCATCACTTCCGTTACTACGGTTGTATTATTGCGCGGTAAATTTGAACTCATAAAAACAACACAATTTTACATCCCCAGTTGTTTAATTATTTTAAAATTAAATTATAAGGAATGACTGAACGCAGCATGTTGCGCATTGCATGCTGTTTGCATTTCGAACGTCCTTTACGAGGTATACAAATGATACATGTAAAATAATATCTTAGGCCTAGTTCAATGATTATGAGGACGGGAGTAAAACGAAAATTGATTGACCAGAATGTGGTTTGGATTTCTAAGGGGAGCGACATTTTTTTTTGGGGGGGGGGGGGGGGTTATAAGGGTCAAAGTCTTTCGACTCAAATTATTTATTCCAAAGCTAAATTATTACTGCCAGATATGATCAGAGGCAGTTTATTTACTTACTTCTTATAATGTTATCTTTTTAATAATTATACTTGTCCAAACTCCACAATTCTAATTCATGGGGGGCCCGGGGGGGGGGGGTGAAATACATGTAGCACCAGACAAGACAAATTATTTTCTTGCCTGTTGAGAACTGCAGACCCCAACCCATCCCCTCCCACCACCACAACGAGTCCTTTGGAACTTTTAACAAAAAACATGATAGCACTTTTAAAAATGATTTTTTTTTTGGTGAATTTCATGTATAATTCAGATTAATTTTCTCTGCTTCATTTCCAAATTTTAATATCATAAATATTGTATTGGTGTGTGATTTTTTTCATTTAAATAGTATGAAATTGTAAGGGTCAGTAGAGGACAAATTTATTGCAGTAGTGTATTTGTTATTTGGAAAATATATTTAACTTTTCAAGAGAATTGGTATCCCAGTCTTCTGTGGGGAGTTCCCAGATTTCTTCTGCCAGTGATGATCCCCTCGCAAATCCAGATATGCACTGGAGAGATGCCAATGTAGAGGACACAGGGGCACCAGATCCACGAACTGTAGCATTTCACCCAGAGAGGCAGCCCGGCATTCAGTTGGGACGACTTTTAAGGTTAAATATAGCAAAAATCTCTTTTGCAATTATTTTATGCATGTACATTACAATATACCATAGGCATGCATATTGCAGAGAAAAATTATTCACTCTCTTTATAAATGTGCTTCCAAATTCATATGCAGGGTTATGACAAATACTTTTAGTCTTATATTTCCAGTCTTATTTTAGATATGGTGCTAGGCAGTTTCGAGAACCCATGGATTTCTTGAAACTGTTTCTGACGGAGGCGTTGGTCTTCTCAATCTGTGTGGCCACCAATGATTATGCCAATATGCTGATATCTAGAGGGGAAAGGTCATCGTATGCAAGTCAAGGGAATTGGACTCCTCTCACTGAAGAGGAATTGTACAGGTATTACAAATTCTAAATTAATGTAATTTAAATTATCAAGTGAATTTCCTCAATATCACCTTTACCAACTCATGCTATTTTTGTTTTACCTACTAGTCATTTGCATTTCCCTTTTTGAAACTTGAAACATTTATTTCACTCACTTATTCACTTATAATCCCTTTTTCAATTATATTATATAAAACTTAAAACATTTATTTCACCAAGCTAGTGCACTTATAACACACTACACTTATAATAAATGTGTTCCTATACATATTTTTAATGCTGTAAAACTTCAATTATATAAGTGGGCGGATTCGTTGGTGTTAAACATGACAGAGAATTTCATTACGGAATATAGTACAAAATAATGTATGTCAAAAAATATAAAATTATTGTACACCAAGGTGCAGTCGAGATTGATAATGGTTTTCAAGGGTAGAAAATTTTCAAAGTTTCACTCAACTACATGCAATATTTATTATATTTTACTGAACTTTTTATACAAATATTAATATTATAGCAAACAATGAACCTTGTGCGCATGAATTCTGCACATTCAATGTACATGTATTTTTGTTAATATTAAATGTCATCTAGCAATGTTGGCTGTTGCTATGCTTGAGGGAGTGGCTTCTTTATTCAGTGGGTAAAAGTGTTTTAACAAATGTTTCTTGATGTATCAGATTCAACTGATTTAAACATCATCAAATCACAAAATATTTACATAATTTGAATCATAATCATTTAAAAGTAATATGTGGATTTTTTTGTTTCAGATTTCTCGGAATTATTCTTTACATGTCCGTGGTAAAGTTCCAGACGCTAGAAAGGTATTGGTCAACACAGGCTCTCTATCGGAACAACCCTGTACCAGGAGTTATGTCCAGAACTAGATTTCAGGCCATCTTATCGTTCTTACAAGTAACACCTCCAGCTGATATCGACAAAGGTTTCTCTTACTTTTTGATGTATTATGTATTTGATTTTGTACTTGACAAAACCCTTCAATAAGCTTGTAAATATGTCACAGTAGCATTTACATGTATGTAACTTAAAAGTAAATTCAGTTTCTGAAGTTAAAAATTAGGAAATTATATTGCTTGGATTCCAGTTCTTGAACAAAAGTATATGACTGAATTTTTATTTCCTAAATGGGGAATCCAAGTACATATTACTAATTGCAATTTATCTTTAAATTTAGCACTTCTAATAATTACATATAGAGTCAGTGAAGCACAGTTTATATTGCTTTCTATCTTATTTTTAACAGCTGAGAAGTTGACACGCGTACAGTCTTTGGTGGATCATGTTAAAGAGAAGTCCAAGGAATTATACCAGCCGCACAGGGAAATAGCTGTAGATGAGAGAATGGTATCCTCAAAGCATAAGTTCTCTGGTATTCGCCAGTTTATTAAAGACAAGCCTATTCGATTTGGTATAAAGCTTTGGGTTGTAGCTTGTAACATGTCTGGGTATACATACGACTTTTTTGTTTATCTTGGTAAAAAGAACACAATTTTTACTGAACGTGCAAAAGGTCTTGGATACAATGTAACACTTAGATTATGTGAGTCCCTTTTTGATCAAGGGTATAGGCTTTTTACTGATTGTTTTTATACGTCTTTAGCTCTTGGCAAAGAATTGTTTGCAAGGAAACTTTACCTTGTTGGGGTACTGAAATCAAACAGTTTATCTATACCTGATGAACTTAGAGATGTTAAAATCTGGGAAAGAGTAGCAACACGTGGTGACTTTAGATGGCAGAGAGTTGATGAATTTGTATTTGTTCAGTGGAAAGATTGTAAGGTTGTCACTTTTATGTCACCTTTACATCAGGGTTCAGCTACAACTGTTTGTGAACGCACTATGAAATCTAGATTAACTTGGAACAAAAAACAACTTGTACAACCTGTAGTAGCAAATGATTATAATAAATGTATGGGAGCTGTTGATCTTTCAAACCAGTTTACTAATAAATATCCATCTTATATAAGAACACAATATCATTGGTGGAAAGTTCTGTTTTTTCATTTACTAGATATTATGGTTGTGAATTCATATATTCTTTTTCAAGAATTTAGAAAATCGCACGAAAGTCAGATTACAAATTGTTCTTCAGGGTTTGGACAACTTGAATTCCGTGAATCACTTGCTTTGTCACTGATGGGTTTGAATGAAAAGTCTGTATCAAAAGAAAGTGTTATTCAATGTATACCTGAATTTTTAGAGAAAAGGAAAGATTGTGTATTTTGTAATGCTGAGGCAATACTTTTGAATAAGAAGTCTCCTAGTTATAAGACACTTGTATTTTGTCCATCATGCCAAGTTCCTCTTTGTTTGTCAAGTGACAGAAATTGTTTTAAGAAATGGCATAGTAAAGAAGGAGAAGATGTTCGAAAGAGTGCAGATTTGTCATGTAAAAAGAGAAAGCTATGAAATTATTCTGTACATGTATTCTTTAAAGGACATACCATATTTCTGTCCAGTGAATTCAAATATATGTACATTATATAAATGTAACCGTCGTGAGACATGATGATGATGCCGTGCATAAAAGTTTCTCAACAATTATGTTCAACTTCTTGATTATCAATTATATAAAATGTACATTTAGGTGTAATTTCCATACATTTGTTGACATGCAAGTAATAGTGCTATTTGTCAATTTTTTAATGAAATTTTTATCAAATTTGGAAATTTTTGTAAAATGAATATGAAATTCATAATTGAAAACCACATTTCATTTTAATAACTTTTTAGATACTAGTAATTAGTTTGAACTGTTTTTAATGGAAGAAGTGAAACATTACAGTGTCACATGGATAGTACCTTAGTATTTTTGTATATATTTCTGGGCTGAAAAATGGAAGGAAAAGTTAGAAAAAAACAAAATTCTGAAGCACAATTTTTGCACTTGATGACCTTTGACCTTTATTGTCTAAAAAATATTAATGATAATTATTGCTCTTAATGCTTAAAACCTTAGAAAAATGTGTATAGGGAATATCTTTTTGATTAATTTGGTAATTATGCTAATTATTATGTTTTGTAATTATTATGTTTTGTTATTATATTGACATTGTACTGGATGGAAGCAGAAATGTGAAATTAAGTTAAAATTGTATTATGGGTAATGTTACTTAGCAACCAGAAATATTCATTTATCAATTAAATTGATTACTGTGATAATGGTGTTTTAGTTGTATCTTAGTAGGCTCAAGTTAATATAATAAGAATCTCTTCTATATCCTTTACATTATTTTTACTGAACAATCTCACGGAATGCAAACAAATGTCACAGTCAAGAATGAGTGAAAACAAACGTATACAACTGAAAAGTAAAAAAAGTTGTAGTTGCTTAGCAACCAATTAAAGGCCATTTAACACAAATTTAAACTTAAATGGTGCAGGCATTTTGCAGTTAAGCATAATGCCTTCTAGAAAGTGTTCTCAGAATTTTCTATTTTAGCATCCATTGTGTAAAACTTTAGCAAGAATTTTGAAAAGTGTTGAAAAAGTTGATGAAATTATTGCACTAATTTGACCTTTGACCTCCTAAAAATAGATCTAATGAGGTCAAACTTTAAGTCAATTTATCTGCTGTATGTCCCGTGTAATCTATGACCTCACATCTAATTTTAATATGTGCTTGGATGCATAAATGTGTCTAGAATGAGTAAAAAATGAAGATTTCAGCCCGAAAATTAAAGAATTCTGCGTTGCTAAGCAACCGCTTTTAAGTAGTTATATGCAGAATTAAAAAAAAAAGTTTATGTGTTTCATGTAGTACAGTATCATGCTTTTCTGTGGGTATATCCCAAATTTCCTATTTCAACATACATCATAGTTAATATTTAGCTAGAAGATTAAAAAGTATCAAAAAATTCCATAAAATTTTGCACTTAATTGACCTTTGACCTCAATTTGTACTAATAAGGTCAGTAGGTGAGTATCTAAATATTCATAAAATATCATCTCTAAGAAATTACCTACAAAATGATATGCATTATGCCTAGCTTTCTCCTTGGATAAAAAAGTTAGAAATAATATAATAATGCAATGTCAAAAGACCTCCAAAATCACTTAAAATGCGCCGGTAGAGAAAGGGTTAAAAAAAATTATGAATAATAATTTCTAAAATTAAATGTTTAAAAAACAATTTTAGAATTTAGAATAAAATTACACAAGAACTGTTGATTTTAACAACGTTTAACATGTGTTATGACGTAATATGTCCTTTTAGTCATGTGACATGTGCCCTGTCTCCCCTTAAGGTCAAGATCTAGTAAATAACTTTAGACTAATTTTTTTGTGCTAGATCCATTATGACGTCATAATCAATGACAGTTTAAAATACAGTTTATCATCTTGTTTACCTACAAATTATTCCCCGAAACACCTTATTTGACCAAGGTAAAGTTGTAAAGCATCAATAAAGGAATTTATTTCTCAAGTTTGATAAATCTGTAGGCACCTTTCAATTACTGGATCTTGACCTTAATTCAATATAAATAGAAATTTGGCCATAAAATCTTTGTTTAATACAAAGAACAGTACAATGGTAATTGATGATTTGTCTTATTACCAGCGTTAAACAGTAAATTATCCACAATTCCAGCTCTTGAAAAAAGGGGGATAGACGATAGATAGATTTTCCATTGAAATCGAAGTTTCAAGCATCACCAAATTTTAAAATAGTTTCAGATATGATAAAATGTTCCTTATATCTATTCCTATGTTTTAGGCAAATAAATAAAACATAAATATATCAATAAAATACAACGTTTCAGTTGTAAATCGCTTTGACATTGGTTGAAAATAAGCATTTTTATCGTTTTTTGTCAATAAACATACATCCCCCCCCCCCTTGTCACACAAAAAGCTTTGGTATGAATTTGTTAAATAAAATGCCATATTACCTGTAAAAAGGAATTTTTGTGACAAGGGGGAGGGGGGATGTTTTAAACATATTTTCTGTTTTCCGTTGATTTCTATATTGAAAAAAACAATTTTTACCAAAAGTTTAGAGTTATCTCTCTTTGTTTTCCCAAATAAGTAATGTTTTATGAAAATCCGTATAATTATCTATAAAAAAAATATTAAATATTCATCGAATGTTAACTTTCAAAAATTGACTTGGACTAAGGCGGGAGAACAATACTATCGTTCGCAGTTCTTTAAGAGACTTAATAATACTAGTCCTGATAGTTGCATGACAAAATATAAAAGTTTTCACAAAACATAAGTACTGATAGTTTTTTATTGAAGTGACTTTGAAACCGAGTTTTCCAGGGTGAAGCTTTGAACAATTTGGTAAGAAGATTTTTTAGCAGCCATTAATCTTTTTATTTTCCTGATGATCCCTTATATATCTAAAGTTTCACATCTCTAGTTTAATATGAAAGAGAGCCCTTAAAATAAGGATACCCTGTCACAAAGTTGACAAAAACTGGTCGAGGGATTCTTGACATATGTCCAATATTCCAAAAAGCTGACACACACTGCACGAGTTCAGCTTTTTGTTTAGAAGCATTAACAACATGTAAAATGTACAGAAATTAATCTCTCAGCACTAGTAGCCATGCTGTTGCAGATTGTCATTAGTTTGAAAAGTTTGAAGTCCCTAAGTGGCTTAATGTTACTCTGGTTAATAATTAACTGCCTGGTTAACAATTAATTCACATTCAAATAAGAAACATTGAAATGGCTTGGTTAAATTTTCTCTACCTTATGCATTCAACATGTTCAAGATGTAAATTTCTAACATTTGGGTCTGGCACTATAAAAGCTTAGATGTGCTTACATTTGATCTCTGTCCCGCAATCAAAAAATACAAATTAGGAGAAAATTGAGAATGAGATCAAATGTGAGTCCAAGTTTTATGGTTCCAGACCCCGGGACCATAAAACTTATATGAACTCACTTTTGATCTGAATTTTATTATTTCATTTTTCCACTATTAATTTCTTTGAAGTAAAACTGAGATTAAAAAAAAAGTAAGCTCATCTAAGTTGTATGGCCCCAGAGCAAGAGCCTAAAACATACACAAACCCAGTCTCAGTCTCAAATGCAAAAAGAAATGAGTGGAAAATTGAGAATGAAATCAATTGTGAGTTTGAATTTTATCCCGTCTTTAACCCATGGATATGACTCATTGGATATTTTTTTCATATCCCACAGTGAAGTGCAGTTGTGACGTCACAACGGTTTTTGCGTTAGCGTGAGGAAGTAAAGTAAAGTAGAGTCCTATATAAAACAATGTAAAACATTGGTTGTGAAGTATTAAACATGGGATAAAAAGAATCTCACCAAGGCTCAGGGATAAAAAAAAAACCACACGACTCGTTGGATACAAATCATATCCAACTACAAATCATGGGAGATCCTATGTATGTATAGCCCCAGAACCAGCATTACTCAAAAAACCACATTTAGATTTTTTTGTTTCTCATTTATTCAAAAAATAAGCTTTCATTTCATTTACAATATAAATCACATCTGTCAATGTGGACCATGAGACAGTTTGAAATAAATAACACAACATTTAATTTGTTTAAATTACATCATCATTCCTGTTAGTTCATTTCATAAGACAATTTGAAATAAAATAAATTTATATCTTTATGGGCCTGTATGTACAATAAGAAAATAAAAATATGATTTAAGCAAAAGTACATATTATACACCAGTCTGATCAATGATCATATGGTCTGGTTAGAATATGGTAGTCAACGTGCACATTATATTTTCTGAATCTATACTGTAAGCACTCTGACTTTACTACACTACTTGAAATCAGAAATGACATATCACAATCTCTAATGGAATGAAGATTTTCTTCCTTATAATGCGGCCAATTCCATCATGTAGGCTCCCAGAACTTTTGTCTGCAACACAACAGATAGCATTAGGATTGATTGGTAATTAATATTACAAGTTTTAATATCTTGGTTTTGCTGCACTGATATTGTCATATATTTTAGGTCTAAATTTTCTCTCTCCTTGCTTTTTAAAAAAAAGATCTGAAATAATTTTAAAACATTTGTGACATTAAATAGAATACTACATAAATGATTAATTAAATTTAAGACAGAAATTTTTTTAATCAAGAGAGAAAATTCTGAGACTTTGGTTATGGTATGTTAATCAAACGCAGTCTGTCTTATTTGTAATTGCTTTGATGTAGTTTGATCTGTCTATTTTTTTATTCTATGAGTTTAACCCTACCCCCTTGATATAGTTTGATCTGTCTATTTTCTCATTTTGAGAGTGGGCGCCATCATCACATGCTCCTATTGGTAGAAGCATCACATTCCTTCCTGTGGCCTCCTGAAAGGTCAAGGTCACCGGTATGCTTCCTCCTTCCCTAGTCAAATCTGGTTCAACTCCAAACACTGTAATGAATATTGCATCATTACATGTATGTAGTTATATAATGTAAAAATCTCTTGAATCACAGATTACAAAAAATACAAGTCATATGTTAAGTTCATATTTATTCAAATATAAACACTGAATGTTAAAACTCAAACACAATGGCTATTTCTCTCCATGAGGAAGAAATCTATACTTTCCCTGTTATAAATAAAATAAAATACCTGTTTTCATGGCTTTCCTGCCAGCAATGTAGTTAGGATCATTGAAATCACTGACCCATGGCTTTCCTCCATGACCCATTGAAATCCTGAATGAAAAAGATATTTTCATATTAATTTTGTTATTATAATACATTCTCGTGAAGGCAATTGCTACTGAAGAGCTTCATCCTTGTAGCTAATGTTTCTTACTATGAATAAGATTTCCTTACTTACTTACAATCACTTTTTTTGCATGAACAAGAAATTCTATTTTTATAAAATTTTTCATGACTCATTTGATAAAAAATAATTGCTGATGCATAACAATTTTAAATATCAAGAATATGTAATCAGTTTTCCTGTTGTTCAAGACAAATAACACTAATTTTAATAGCAATGTCTCTTAACATTCTTATCAATGTCTTCTGACATTCTTACTTGATTTTGTTCGGACTATTTCTCTCACTGAATTTCTTCTGAATGTGAGTGTTGACAAGTTTTTCTATTTCATCTGGATGTTGATCGGGTACAAGACGGATGGAGAACTTTCCAATCACTTTCTTAGGAATCACAGTCTTTGCTCCTGGTTCACTGAATGCTCCCTCAATTCCTGGATAAAATTAATCAGAGTTTCTTTGCCAGACTCGCAATAAAGACTATATCAATATGGAGATAAAGATAAGTTGTACAAAAGTCTAATACTGTAAACCAACTTTCATTTGCGCAACTTTATTTTGTGTTTTACTTGGTGAAAATTTGTTCATGACGATTATTTTTAGCGATCAAACCTTTTTGGATCTGTTGTTAATAGACACAGAGACTGTATGGACCGGGTCTTGGCAACAAATAAGCAAATAAAAAGTCAAATAATTCTTATAAAAAAAATTTCATGTGAAGGTGATTGGGAGAGAATTTGTATGGGGTCAAGGAATGGGAGAGAGAGTGCATGGGGATGGAAGGGAGGAGTTTCAATTGATTAATAAAATCTTACCATGTATAGACAGCGAGGGGTATCTCCAACGATGCATCAAAATGTCCTCCTTTTTATTGTGAATCAAACTTGTCACTCCTACATCCTTCTTATACTCCTCCTACAAATGTAATGTAACTATCTTTATTCCCCTGAAATAGATATGTTCCTGATATTCCTGTAATTGTGTACCTTTTACTCTACTTATAAATGCTACAAGTTTACTTAAATTCCTATAAATGCTACTTTTTACTCCTACAAATGTAACACGATTTAGCTTTAACTCCTCAGACAAATTTATTGAAATTATTTTTAACTTTTCCTACAAATGTAATGTAGTTATCTTATATGCCTTCTTATTTAAATAGTTTCCTCATGACGCTCATGGAACATGTGATCAATTATACACTATAAAGATTGTATCTACTTTTGAAAGAGGTAATTTTTAATCTACCCCAACTTATTCAGTCAAGCGCATATCCTAAACTTTTTAAACTTTTATTCAATTACATAATATAAAAAAATTATAATAATTCATCATTTAATTAATTTATTAAAATGACAAAAAAGGTGCTTTTAATTTTTCCACTTACAGGCTCGAAATCAATGGGTTCATACAGCTTCTTTTCCTCCTCTGTCAGTTTGGCTACTGAGTCGTAGATACCTGGAATCAGGATCTTCCCTTTACTGTCCACCAGGGTGTTCAGGAGTGCAATAAGGTCAGCCATCCCTTCATGTCTGCAGATTGAACATAATTAGATAAATATTATAATTTACAAGAAGCTAATGCATGTCAATCCACGTAAATAAATGGGGAGCTGAACAAATGCACTTATTCCTCTTTTTAGTTGTTCACCTCTTTTTACTTTGTCTGGACACGTCAAAAGAGAAAATTCATGGGTTTCTAAACTTTAAGTGCTGGGGATACATCAAAGTGAAAAGTTAAAATAACCAACATTTAATTCTTTTTTCTTTATAAGAAATACAATGTATCAACAATATGATTTGCTGCTTAAGCCAATAATAAATTTGACTCACACTGTGCCCCCAAATACACCAGAGTGAAGGTCCTTGGTGGAACATTCCACTTCCAGGAAAAAGTAGCAGATTCCTCTGTTGAAAATACAAGCATTATATGGTTGATAAATCATTTGACATCATGTATTTTTTACAATAATTAAAAATTATACCCAGTCGTTGCCCTACCCAAAATATTATAAATGTATTATTGTATCAAACTTTGTATGAAGTTTGATACTGAGGGTCAAGGTGAAGGTCAGAGAACTATGACTCAGTTTAATAATTCCCACCAATAGTGGTATGTATAAAAATATTTTGATCAGGGGCCTTTACACTGAGATAAACACAAAATAGGGAATAGTAAAGTCAAGGTCACTGGGAAGGTCAAGGTGAAAAAATTGCCACCATTGAAAAGCTCTCATCAGTATGCATTAGAGAATGAATTTAGTTTCAGATACTTGGTTTGAATCTGAACAAAACACAAAAGGATATACTGACGGAAGGTCAGAAGATAAACACGAAAAATACTGGTACCACAAGCCCAAGCCATATTCATGGTTTGCATGTTTTTTTTTCTCTAATCTTTAATCTTTTTTCTTTAATATTAATCTACGTGCACAATGTACTGCTTATGCATGAAGATTAAATACATTGTAGGCTA